GGGGATTGTTTATTTATTTATTTTAAAGGAATGGCAGTGGAAGAAGGAGAATGGAGGAAAAAAATAACCCGAGTGGAGCTTGCCGAGAGCCGGAGCCGCCGGGACAGGCAGCCTGTGCTCAGCCGAGGCTTCTCCGACAGTAACCGCTTCATTTCGCAGATTTCGTGTTTGCAGAAGGTCACATTTTACCAGCGCCTCAGATTTAAGAGAAAGAGGTGGTCGGAAAGCTACAAGTTTTTTTTTTTTTTTTTCATATTATTTTATTTTTAGGGCTGGGTCAGATATCCACCCTAGATAATCATATTTACCTCCTGGCTTTTTATTCTATTTGCTGTTGTTGTTAAAATTTGTATGCGCCCGATCTGTCGCTAAATGAGGATTGCGCTGAGAACCCTTGCGAGAAATAGCAAAATCTGGAGGGGAAATAATCAACATCGGGCAGGGGAGAAGCGGAGGGCAGGGAGCTGGGTCCTGTCGCGGGGGCCTCCTGGCTTTCCGACTGCTTCTCAGGGAGGCTGAGCCGGAGAAAGGGGCGCTTGGGGCTGCCCCGCGGCCGTGCAAGATGCCGAGGTCGGACGGGACTGGGAAAGAAGGTCGCTGGATGAGTACGGGGAGAAGAGGAAAGACAGGAGTAAGGGGGACGGGAGGAAGAAAACAAAAAAGAGAGAGAGAGGGAAAAAAAAAAAAGAAAGAAATAGACATGGAGGAAAAAAAAAAGAAAAAAAAAAAGAAAAAAAAATAGAGAGGGTGGAAAAAAAGGGCAGAACCGAGGACAGGGATGTCAGGTGCACGTCGGTCTCTCTGCGGCGGGCAGCGCAGGGTTTCGCTGCCATTCCTCCCCCCGACGGCGCAGCGAAGGGGCCGAGGGGGCTCTGCGAGCAGGGACAAAGCGACCCGCGGYGCGGCCCCTCCGGCAAAGGGCGGGAGGGGAGACACGGCGGGCAAGAGAGCGGTGGGCGTGCAGCCAGTGCTGCTCTAGCCCGTCCAGCCTAGTCCTGCCCCGTGCCGTCATGACCCGTCTTGTGCAGTAAAGTCCCGTCCTGCTTCAGTCTGCCCCGTCTCGTTTCGTCCCATTCCATTCCGTATCTCGTCCCATCCCGTGTCTCGTCCCGTTCACTCCATCTCTTCCCATCTCTTCCCGTCTCCTCCCCGTCCACCCCCTCCCGTCCCGCCCCGTCCCGCAGCCCGTCCCGCTCCGCTGTCGGGTCGGACCGGGCCGCGAAAGCGCGGGAAAAGGGGCGCTGATTTGAATGCGGTGCCGCGGATTGGCCGTGCGTGCCGTGACGTCACTTCCCAAAGGGGGCGATTACCATGCGAGGGGAGTAGAAGTTGGGCAGCGGGGCGGGAGCGCGAGCGCAGCGCCCGGACCGGGACCGCGACGGGCTCGGCTCGGACCGGCCCTGCACGGCCCAGCTTGACTCACCTCGGCTTGACCCGGCTCGGCTCGGTCAGGTTCGGCTCTGCTTGACCTGACCCGGCTCGGCTCGGTTCGGCTCTGCATGGCTCGGTTCGGCTTGGCGCAGCCCGCACCGTCGCCTGCAGCCCCGACCGGCAGGAGCTCCGGTCCGGGCACTCCCGGCTCCAGCGCCGCGCCGCCCGCAATGCGCCCATCGGTCTCGCTCCTGCTTTTTTTTTTTTTTTTTTTTTTTTTTTTTTTTTTTTTTTTCTTTTTTCTTTATTTATTTATTTTCTGTCTCTTTTGGCTTCCTTGCTGGCAGATCCCGGCCGCTCTGCTCAGCCGTGCCCACCTCGAGCGAACGGCAGCCCCGCCGGAGGGATGTTTCTGTCTTTGGTTATCTAGCTGTATGAGTGTTATGGAGCCATCATAAAGCTAGATAACCGAAAGTAGAAATGACTTCCAGACCTGCTCGCCCGGGGCAAGCGGCTGCAGCGGCACCGGCGGCGCTGGAACCAGCAGCAGAGGCGCCCGGACCCGCCGCCCGCCACCTCGGGGCTCCAGGTAACGGCGCCGCGCTCGCCCCGTCGCGCTCCGGACACCGGGCAGCCCCGCGGGGCTTCGCGGCACCAGGCGGGAGGGTCGGGGGAGAAGAGCAGCTCGTAAGCAAGTGCTTCCAGCGCCAGATGAACGCGGCTTTGGACGCGTTGTTAAACACACTTGGGGATGCGACCCTGAGCTCCGTGGGGTGAAGAGCCCCGCGGACAGCAGGTCCCCCGAACAAAGCCCTTCCGCGCCGCTCTGGGGGTCAAGCCGAGGAAAACACCCCCTTCCCCTCCTCCCCCCCGCCTTTCCTCCTCCCTCCTTCCCTATTTTCTTCTTCCTTGGGCTTTGGGCTTGATTCTGGCCTCCCTTCGGGAGGTCAAGTTCTCGGCAATGTAGTCACTTCTCTTGTGCCGCGGCTGTTGCTTTGGTCTCTAGCCGGGGGTCCCCAGGGAAGGGGTCCCACCGGGGGCACCCCTCTGGCGGGGAGCCCAACAGCCCTGGGGCTTTCTGCGGAGCCGGGCGCTTGGCAGGCACAAAGCCTCAATCACCTCTGAGAAGTTGAAGCATCGTATGTATTACAATGTCTGGCAAATAACAAAAAAAAAAAAAAAAAAAAAAAAAAAAAAAAAAAAAAAAAAAAAAAAAAAAAAAAAAAAAAAAAAAAAAAAAAAGAAAGAAAAGAAAGAAAAAAGCAATTGGCAAATCTGCATTCGGTTCCCATGGCGACACAAAGCACCGCGCTCTCGCTGAGCTCCCCGGCACGTTTTCGCAGCCCGTGTGGGGTGAGCGCCCCTGGCCGGGGCTGCGGCCCCCTTGGGTCCCCAGCGCTGTGGTCCCAACGTGGGGCACCGGTGGTGGGAGCCTGGGGGTGGCAGGGCGCGATGCCCCCGGCCCTGCTGACGCGCCGCACCGGGTGACAGCCGGTGCCTGTGTCCTGCAGGAAGGGTCCCTGCACGGCCAGCAGCTCCCATGGGCTGTGGCAGCGCTGGGGAGGCTGCAGAGGAAAATCTCCCCCTAACTTGCTGGTGACCATGGTGGCCAGGGCGGGTTTTGTGCCCTCTCTGCGTCTCTCCGTGCGCTGCTTTGGAGACGGGAAAGATGCTGCCAAGCTCCCGGAAAGGTGGGGTTTGGGTCCCCGTCCTCATCCTCGGCTCTGCRGCCGGGGGACGGACGCAGCTCTCCCAGGGCAGAGGTAGCGAGGCAGGACCAAGGCACTGGAAAGGTGAGGGGCAGGAGCCGGGTGCTGCTCTGAGACGGGTTTTCCGACATCCCCTGCATGGGGTGACGGTGTCAGACGCCACGTAGGCCCGCGAAGCTGAATGTGCCCGTGTGCCCTTCCAGGGCCAGCAAAGCTCCGCCGGCACCGCGGTCAGGAAGCAGCATCGCAGCCTGAATCRGGCTATTCCGCAAGAAAGGGAAGTTCTGAGGAGCTGTTGTTATTATATATTCTAATGAGAAGTCATTGGAGAAATTAAAAAGGGCAGAAAAAGACGAAGACGCCAGCACTAATTCCACAGGAAGCCTCCCAGGGAAAAGGCTGTGTGAGTTTGAACGCTGAAAAGCATGAAGGCCTGGAATTAGACTATCATTTAGAAAGCGTTACTAATCCGAAGTTACAGCAGTAATTCCATGATTTGCTGGGTCCCACACGCAGCGCCAGAATTAAAGATACGGATTTTCTAGAAATGTAACTCAACTGTGGCACCGACTCTCGGCGAGATCCGAATGAATCATTCATTCCTAACCCTGCAAAAGAAGTGTCATTAAGAACCAACCTTGTTCTCTCCAGCCCATCTGGAATGTATATTCTTGATACAACCCCAGAAATTGTGGAAGAGCTCGGAGATGAGGAGGAGGGAATGTAGTTATTTCTCTCCTTTATTATGTTGGTTATTTTTAAGAAATAATTTTCCAATTATTTCCACAATATTGTGAGTGGCACTCAATTCTTCTTCTGTTTATTTTCTTTTTCTTTTGTGTGAGAGTATCGAGTCAGGTGGAAACAGTTTCAGTGGAGATGCTTTAAAACTAGACTGAACAAAGCAGGGGAGAAGTGAGCAAGGTGCCTGATGAATGCGTTGATTCTGGAGTGATGATTTGATGGGGGATGGAAGAAGGAAACATTMAAATTCCTAATGAATATAATTCAGAAAGAATCACTCAACCAGCATGTTAGGAAAAATCTGTTCTGGTGGAAGTGTTTCTGCACTAGCAGAACCCAGTAGGTGTTTCTGTCCCTGACTTTGGTTATTGCACTAGGTGACTGTATAAAGAGAGGATTGGAGGAAAAAAATACATGCACATATACAATAAATGTTTTTGTGTGTGTGTATATAAAAATATATAGGTTTAATTTTAGAAAATAAAATACAAGTTTGGAAATCAGCGTCTACACGCAAACTTTTGTGAAGGATCCAATGCAAATTTTTCCATCTTGCTGTGGGATCAATGTTTTGGAAACCGCCCTTGACTCCTGATTTTTTTTTTTTCCCTCAACATCACATATTCGGAGTTGATTTTTCATGTTTTTTGGGAAGTGGGGTTGGCTTGCTTGTCCCAAAGAAACTCCCCTGAGATRGTGTGAGACAAGAGATTTTCCTTGCACATCTGTAGAGAGGGACCGAGCTGCTTGTCCTGCGGTTTCCGGGGGAGAGGAGCTGGGGCTGAATTCTGCTTGTGCTTTTGTCCGCACTCTGGCTCTTGTTGTCTGTGCAAAAATACACGGTTGAGTGTCTGAGGGGGCCATGGAGGCTGGGGAATGGCAGGGAATAACGGGCTGCAGTGGTGTGGAGTGGAGGCAAGAGGTGGATAAAACCCCTAACCCTGGGTAAACCCATGTGTGTGACAGCGGCTGCGTTTAGCCAGTCCCTCCTGGCCTGGCATCGCTTCTCTTGGTGGTACTTTTGGTTTGGTTTTTTTTTTTTTGGCTATTTTTGTGGGGCTGTCCCACGATCAGGACGCGGGATCGGTGGCACGTGGGTGACGTTTCTCGAGCTGGTCCTTTCTGTCTTTGTTCTTCCAGCAGCGCTGGCAGAGGCAAGGGGCAGCAGACACTGCAGCGATGTGAGGAGCGGCATGGGCAGTAAGGGGGTAAGTGCAAAATCCCCCCCGTGCTTTCACCCCGATGCCCTGGTGTGCTCAAACCCTTTCCTTTATTTCTCTCTTTGTGCTGAAACTTCCACCCTTGGGTGCCTGTGGCTCRGGGCTTGTGGTGAGCAGGTTTGTCCCAGCTCCCCGCCGGGGGTAGGTGCTGGAGATGCTTTTCGGCCCTGACTGTTTAAACAGGCTGCCCGTGAATGGGAGCGCGGCCGTGTGAGCCCCCCGTTTGGTTATGGATGAGGTCCCATCAATGGGTGTTTTTATGAGCTCGCCCGGCAAGGGCTGCTGGAAGCGGGAGGCCTGGCTCCGCGAGACCTTTTGTCCAGCGAACAGCGTCTCTACCTGCCTTTCCTCTCCGGCTTTGTCCGAGCCACCGGAGGAGAAGCCAAGACCTCCAGCCTGGAGGCCCGTCACACTCATGGCCGCGGCGAGTGGCTGTGACTTGTCCCCAGGCCGTGAGCGTGAACGATGGCCCTGGCCAAGGAGGGCTGAGCGCGGAGCCTCTGCCCAGCACGGATCTGTGTTTCCGTAGTGCCCTGGGCGCACGCGGCAGCGGGGCTGCAGGGTGCTGATGTGGCATACGGGCAGGTGCCAGGGCTGGTTCCTTTGTGCCCTTGCAGGTGCCTGTGTTGGCACGTGTAGGGCGCGCGCGGAGTCGCGGGGCGGGTTTATCGCCCGGGTGCTTGGGTGCTGCTGCAGGGCACGAGCCCGGCGGCCAAAGCGCCGCGTACGGCGGGGCCGGCCCTCCCCAAACCCCGCTGAGCGGCCCCGCTTGCTCACCCCATGCGGGACCCTGCGAGCCCCCCGTCCTCGCGGCGTGCGCCGGCGGCTCCTTCCCGCGGCGGACGCGCGGTTCTGGTGCCATCACCCATGTTGATGCCGTGGCTCCGGGTTAGTTAGGGGCGTTTGCCGGGAAAGCGCAGGATTGGGGGATTAAGAAAAAGGGAAAATGGGAGGGGGAAGGACTCAGTCTCCCTCAGTTAGCTGTGTCTTGGAAACTCCGCTTGCTGTTCCTATAGAGGCTTTCTCTTTTCCTTCACCCTGGTCTGGCCTTAAGTACCACTTTAAGTGGGCTTTGCTCATTCACATCCAGGCTCCTTAGAGCAATTGAGCCCGCGGGGGTTTGAAAAGAAGGGACAGTCCCTCAATGGCAGGACCTTGGGCCAGGCTAATTGGTTTTGGTTCAAGGGGATACTGGATTTGTGAAAAGCCCCAAGACATCTTTCCCACGCCAAATCCTGGCCCTTCAGAGGGGGAAGTGAGGGGTGCTGGGTGGGGAAAGGAGCTGAAAGAAAGATGTTTTAGTTGAGGAACCTTCATAAGGACCTGGGCACCCACCTGCCCCGGCAGGAATGGCGATGGGGGCAGTTGGATGGTGACGAGTCCCTCCTTTTTGGGGGCAGTTGGACAGCAGAACCGTACCCGGTGCTCACTGCATCCCTGTCCCGCCGTCCATGGGCCCGGACTCGGCCGAAGGAGCCTTTGGCTCYGTGTGTGCAGGCACTATGGAGATACCGGGAGCAAATGAGGACCGAAGGGACCTCGGGAAACCCAGGAGAGGGCAGTTGGGCCCAGAAACCAAATYGCTGCTGTGTGTTTGTGTGCCGCTTATGGGGGGAATTTGCTGGGGTCTTTTGTATTTTTTTTTTTCTTAAACACAGAATCTCTCTGGCCCTATTCCAGTAATCCCATGACCTTTACTCTCCCAGATCCATAAAAATCACTTAATTATTGGCCTGAAAATCAAGGCTTGGAAACAAAGCCAGCTTATGGGACCATCATTTCTTGATATATTTCCTGAGAGGACATATTTCTGGGCACCTTCAGAACAGTGAGCACAGCTTGTTGGATATGAGATATCAAGGCATTATTTATTGAGGAAGTCTTCACACTCCCTCATCTGTTATAATTAACTGATGACATTTTTTCTTAGGTTCAAAATATGGTGAAAAAGTATAATTAGCACGAAGCTGAGACACAGCATTAAAATGTCTCCTATAGTTAATGCAAGATAGTCTTGCTATTTATTATAGGAGGAGCTGGCGCTGACCTCTGTGTTGCCTAACACTTTTTATTGTAAAGATTCTTGAACTTCTTTTTTTCTTTTTGAGAACCTCTGACACTCCCATTGTTCCTCACGGGCCCTTGAAATTCGGCCAGGGGGAAGCTCTTAGGCTAGAGAAATGCCTAGTCTTTGTCCCCGAAATTCCTTTCAGGTTTAGCTGAATTATGAATTGTTCAGAATCACATTTTCCTTTTGGTTGCCTCCTTGGGGGCAAGAAAAAAAAAAAAAAGGAAAAAAAGGTGTTTTCTAGGGATAAACGCAGAGCAGGAGCAGGGTAGATCCGCGGGCTCTCCCTGCTGCCCTGCCCTGGCACGGCCGTCGTCAGTGGAAGCAGCGGCCGCCAACTCTTGCTGATGGGTCCGTGTCTGGCTCCTGTTCTTGAATCCTATCGTGTCGCTCCGGTCTCCGGGGAGCAGAGTCCTCCGGGCCCTGCCGATGGCAGGAAGGGCCTCGTGTCCGTGTGTCCGTGTGTCCGTGCGTGCACAGCGGCCCGGCCCTCGCCAACCTCCCCGCCACCACGGCGCCCGCGAGAGCCGCCTTCTGCCGCTGCCACATAACATTAGTGCTGGGTTTCCCGGTGGCAGAAATCTGTGCCGAGGCTCGGGGCTTGGAATCTCGCTCCCTGTGCAGGACGAAGGCTGTGCGGTGGCGGGGGGGSGGGATGAGGACRCGTTCCGCTTGCATACAATTGTTTCTCTTTTTGCTTATATAAACAATCTATTATTTATTASGTATAAATAATGCATTTTCTGTATGTTTAAAATGCATGTGATTTCTGTAGATTAAAAATGGCCATGGTTTAAGGCACCGGGCTGAGCGCTCGCGAGTCGGAGGGTACCAGATTTCGGTCTGCCCATGAGAYGTTAATTCAGCCTCTCGCTGCGCGTGCCCTTACGAGGCTGGAATGACACAGTCAGAGTCTATTTTTAGCTCGCTCCCTCTTTCCCTGGCCAGGGTGGCTGCACAGCGAGGTGGAAATAAGGTTGCATGGACAGCCATAAATTGGGCATTTCCTAACTTTGAAGCACTTGACCATGCAGTCTAAATGAGGCCATTTCAGGGCAGTATTTCTGCTTGTGGCATCAGCTGCATTGGCAGGGGACAGCGAATACGGGCAGAGATGCTGTGGAGACCTGGGAGACTATTGAAAAAGCATGTTTGCGTGAAGGGAGGAGTCAACAGATCCTACACCCCATGCGAGCTGAATGGCCAAGAAGATGCCTTCTAGTTAAAAGGAGAAGCCTTTGTTCCCTCAGAAACGGCCTTGATGTTTTCTTTGCCTTTGCTTTTGCCTCGTTCACTCCCAGGGAGATTTGGGCTCTGGATCTTGAGGCATCTTGGGCTTGTTTGGTGCATTTGCCTCCTTGGGAAAGTGAGGGTGCCCCTAGGAACATGCACACACACAAATACCCATCATCCTGCCACCCAGACACATGCTAGCAGCTCACATGCTTGCTGCTGTTGCATCCTTGCCTTGCGTGCTCTTCCCACTGTTGCTAATGGGAGTCGTTCCATGTGTTGGAGGAGAGGGGAAGGCCTTTGTGCATTAAATATCAGATCTAATCTCTCTCTCTTTTTTTTTTAACTGCTGAAAGAATCACTTCTCCTTTACTTTGCGAGTGATTAGACGCAACACAGATTTATTTCTGCTTGAACATTCCTTTTCTTTTTTCTTTGTTGGGAAATTTCTTCATGAATGTGTCTTGCAATACCTGAGAGGTGATATTCAACTATCTCTACTTTATCGGAGGGTGGACTCTGTCCAAGCAATTTTTTTTCTGGGGAAGAAAGCAATGGGTTTATTTTCTTTTACTCTTCTGGGTCTAATCCAGTCTTAGCCCCTTGTTCTGGTGATAAAGTGTTTTCTTGGTCTGGCAGTGTTTTGCTCTGGCTTATTATCATATAATCTAGTGTTTTCCTGGATTCCTGGAGCCCAGCATCTGCTTGGGGCTGCTCCTGTGTTGGTGCAGGCATCCAGCGTGCCAGGTTTGGGTTCCCGTTGTGTGGGCATGGGCTGCTGTTTCACCAGCATCTTCTTCATAACTTTTCCTYTCTCTCCCTGCATCCCAGGGCTTGTCTATCTGGATGCAGGCAATAAACGTCTGTTCTCACCCTGACTTCTGTTAATGAGATAGAGACAGGTAAGCATCACACATACCAACTTTCCTGCTCTCAGCAACATCAAGGAAACGGTGACAAGCTATTAATGGGAAGTGATGGCCGGGGTGCTAATTAGTGCTTCCTTTTCAACTTTTACCTACGTGTCTGCTGAGATGCCCGTCCCAGCCTCTCCTCTCTCCGTGTATCCCTTTGTTTCCAGTGTGCTGCTTGTTCTCCGCACACATCCCATGTCGAGGAGGCTTCTCTCTCTATTTTCTTCTATCAGTTGCTTCATTCCTTTCTTGTGCCTGCTTCCTTTGGTAATTGCCGCCTGCGCCCTCTTCCTCCTGTGGTTGCTCTCAGCAGAAAATAAGCATGATGATGTAGAGGAATCCAAAACGTCRGGGATGGGGCGGTCAGGAGTGTCTTGTCTTCACTCCGCGGGTAGCAATATTCACTTGTGGCACCAGTGCACTGGGTCACATTACCCCAGGGACCTGGGGTCAGGGATCAGCCCCCTCTTCCCACAGGTAATGATGCAGGGAGGCTTCCCAGCAGCTTGAGGGCCTTGGCCAGGGAGCAATTAGTATTTTAAGTGGATCTCCTGGTAAATGGCCAGAGACGGAGCAGGGCAGGCGCTCGCTGTGGGAGCCGACAGGTCTTGCCCCAGAGAGCTTAGGGGCGAGATGCCCCTGCTCTGCACCCCAGTCTCTCCCAAGCGATTTCTCCTGCCCAAGCTCTGCTGCTTCTCCAGGGACCCCTCTCCTTGATGGTCCCCCCTCCGCTTTCTTGCACAGGCCCTGGGTTTCCCGCTGCCCCGGGTGCCACGGGGCTGGTGTCCCGGGGATCCGGCCTCCTCTGCCCACCATTCACGGCCAAGGCGCCGTGGGGCAGCGGGGCCGCTCGTGGGGCAGCGCGGAAGAGGCAGCCGTGGCTCGTACACGAGCTAATTAATTGTCATGACTGAACGATGCTGCCTGCTCTCCTCTTTCCTCCCCGTGCCGCTCCCCGTTCCCCCCCTCGCTGACACGCACAGGGCGCCGCGGCTCCGGCGAGCGTCAGCATCCTTCCTTCGGCAGCCTTGAGACGCGGGCGCTCGTTCTGCTGGCTTGTCAAACGCGGGTTTCCCTGCTTCATGGTACACAGGGGCCCCCTGTTTCACATTTGCTGATTCTTATTAGACCCAGCGCGCGAAGGCCCCGTCTCTCCCRGCAAGGCAACGCGCTGCATCCCATCCATAAATCCAAGCCTGGAACAAAGCCGCCTCTACCCTGCCCCATATTTCTACCCAGCCTACCCGCTTTCCCCTCTCTCTTTCTCTCCCCCGCTCCCATGCTGAAGGTTTCCTAGTGCCAGGGAGATATGATAATTCTTGTGAAGAAAGCATGAAATGCCTCTGCTCTTTGTGTCTGTTTAATTCAATGAGAATCCCAGCCCCAGATGTCATGAATGGTGGGCTTTGTGCTGGCCCTTCCTAAGCCCTAACCGCCAGCCCTGCTTTCTGTCTTTCTTGTTTCCCACCACTGGATACTGATTAACAAACTAAATTATTTTTCCTCCCTAATGATGTTTTCCCACTTTGCCCACCAGGCTGGAAGAAGCCACAGGGAGGAAAGAGTTTGTGCAAAGGATGAGATAGCCAGGGAGAAAATTAAAGAGACAGGGTTGCTCTCTGGGCGCTGGCAACGCGGGTCCACTCGGCTTTATTTCCTTATTAGAGAACGTGGTCGTGTCTGGCTGTATTTTCCGTGGCTGTGTGTGGTTCAGCCGAGGGGATGGGCTTGGGAGCATCTGCACAAGGTCTGCTCTGAAGCACGGTGAGRTCCATAGCTCACTCGCAATGGCCCGTGTATGTTTGTTGTTCCCGAATTTAAGGTCTCTTTTCCAGCCATTTCTCCATGAGTGACATTCAGTAATTGCTTGACGTCCATCCATACATGTGAGAGCCCCTTTCTAATTGAGACAAATTTTCTTTTCCTTAGCCATACGCGACTGCTCGTCCATGGAGTGGGAAGCCTTGGGAAGGGCAGGGACATCTCCACCTGAGCAGAGAGAGGTGAGTCCCGGGGCGTCTTGTTGARGGACTGAGTTCAACTCATTCATGGGGGAGACCAGCTCTTTTACCTAACTCCTCCCTGCCTCCCATAGCCAGATTTCACAGCGAGACTTTTGAAATGGGGCCAGTTTTTAGCTGCTGTTGGAGAAGGCCAACGGCGATAATCCGGCGAGCCTAGAGGGGACTCAGGGTGGGTGGCCAAGGCAGGTTCTTGCAAGGCCACCTGCTTCCCAGAGCCCAGCAGAGCCTCCTTGCTGGGCACCAGTGAAGCTTTGGCCTGCAAAAACCCTCCTGGTGCATGGAAAGAAGATGGGTATAAACCTTGCAGGAAGAAAAGACAGTAGCGTGGAGAGACCTTTTGAGAGAAATTGAGGGTTTGCAGTGTTGTGAAGTTGGGAGTCGTTGAGAGAAGGGTTGTTGATTTTTTTTTTTTTTCCTTTTTTTTTTTTTTTCCTTTCTATCTATTTCGTGAGTTGCTCCATTATTTTTGTGTCCTGCTCTGTTGTGGGCAGCCGTGGAGCCAACAGAGCAGCCTTCCCCACAGATGATTTGCCCCTGAATCCCTGGGGGAGGCAGACAGGCACTCTGACTATCCTGCTTTGGGGTTTTCTTTGGGCGAGAAGGCACCAGCCCTCGGCTAGGGGTGAGGATCTCAGCTGAGAGGATCTCAAGCTGTAGGGCCTTGCAGGGAGCAGAGCCTGGGGGACCAGCCCTGTGTTTATCAGCCCTCAGGGAACTGTGGCTGGAGAGGAGCCTCAACAGCCTCTGGTCAGAGCAGGGATGGATGCTCAGCCGGCCGAGCCTGTACAGCTGCTTCTCTTGGAGCCACAGTGATGCTTTGGTACCCAATAGTGGTCCCTGGTTCCTTTGGTTTAGACTCAGCCAGGGAGAATAACCAGAGAAAAGGGTGCTGCTTGTCTGTACTCCCCAAGCCCCAAGCACAGCCTGAGAAACACTGCCTTTGCTTCCCACTGTGGCCATATCTGACCCTTATTACTTCTGCAAGGTGGAACAAGGCAGGAAAAATGGCTGTGCAGCGAGTGTCTCCATGTGCCAGGATTTATTAAGAACAATAGGGGAAATCAATCCGTCTATGTAGAATACATCGCAGGCTGCGATGGGATAACGCATTTATTCCGCTCTTGAAGGGTAGATCTATAACTCATGAGAGGCAAAACCCTTAGTRCTCCAGAGTCCCTTGCCTTCATGTGTGCAGAATACTTTAGCCCATGGCAACCCACCAGCTATGAATCTGTGTGGAGAATTCGCTGTCCTTCCCCTGTTCCCCTCCGCCGGCCCCTTTTCGGAAGGCGCATCGCTCATTAAAACACACCTCTGGAAAAGTGAAGGGGCTGTGTTCAAAAGCATCTCTGCATCTCAGTTTTTCTTGAAACAGAAAGTCAAGGCAGAGCAGAGAACAGAAATGCCTCGGGGACGTAAAAGCAACCCCCATCGATTTCTGAGTGGAAAGACCATGCTTAAAAACCAATAACAGATTTTGCCATGACTTTTTGCTGATGTTTAAGGACTGGGCATTGCAACAGTGAGGGACTGGGTGAGGTGTCGTAATGAGGACAGGGAGATGATGTGTGGGGACCTGTGTGTTTTGTGGCTGAATATCTCTAGCGATGCCTAGTTATATCTGTGTATTTATGTAAGTGCTGCTCTGTGCCTAGCTCTGCAGCTTGTGAAGGAAGGCATGCGGTGCAAAGACTAGAGCACTGGTTAGTAGGGGCAAAAGGTGACTGGGATTTGTTATAATCTTTCTGGGTGTGAGAGAGTGCGGTGGGGGGGGCATTAATAGTGAAATGGTATTTTCACTAAGCCTATTTTCACTGGATCTAATCTATCTTGTGGGAAGAAGATCTCTTCAATAGGGCAGACCCTGCAAGGCTGATGAGCTGTTTGGTGGGGGTCTGCGGAGCCGAGGAGTGTGGGCAGGGGGAGGCGTAGCAATTGAGCAGACACATGTCAGACGGCCTTCCTCAGCAGAGATGACTTGGTAGGTAGCGTGCTGTTGGGCAGATGGGGTTAATTCTTACACCCAAATCAAAAGGCGACCGAGGGGGGAATGTTTTATTAATGAAAGCAGCCCTTTGTGAGTATTCCTCCCGAGGCACGTTCCCTCCACCCTCTGCCTTCCCCTCTGGCTGCTGTCTGGCCCTGCATCTTGCTCGGTACCTGCTCAGCTGCCACTCACCCATTGATAGGTCTCATCAAGAAATGTCTCTGGCATGTCCAAGTCCTCAGCCTGGAGGAGCGGGGCTGGAAAGGAGGAGGGACAGGGTCTGCAGCTAGTTTGGTGAGGAGGACACACCATGGGCAGGCAGAGCTTGGGCTGGCCYGGGTTTTGTGTCAGCCCATTGATTGCTGTGGTGTTATTGCAAGAGTCACTTCTTGCTGGTATCAAAGACTAAGATAGGCCTTGGTTGGCAGAGCGYGAGCTAAACTGCAGGTCAAAAGAGGGTACTTCAGTGGGCAGGGGATGTAGGTGATGACTGGAGACTGTCTTTCCCATCTCCCATCCACTTTCACATCCCACTGCCTCTGCCCTGCCAAATGTGGGCTCCAGAGAAGGGAAAGAGGAGCTGGTTCTGCGCGCCATAAGCCAAGCTCTCCTGGCCCCTCTTATCCTGCTCTCTTTCCCGACCCACCTCTCTGGGACCATGTGGGACCATGTGACATCTTGTTGTGCCAAAGGACAGGGCTATGGGAGCAGAAGGGTTGTGTACAGAGATTATTTCTGTTACTTTGTTAAAAATAAAACAAAAGCTCTTTTATGAAGACTAACTTAGAAGAAAAAGCAAGTGCAGCTCAATTCCCAAAGCACCTTTTAAAAAGGCTCTGCGTGTGCACGCGTGTGTCTTACACACACTAGGAGAGAGCACCCAAGGCAGGCTGGGTTGGGAAACCTCGCAAGGAAGCAGGGAAGAGACCCCGGTGCGTGGCTGCTTCCCTGAGGGAGCCCCTGCAGGGCTCATGTTTGATCTGAGGCTCAGTTGTGCTCCTCTGAAACCTGGGGATGTCAGGAGCTCCAAGAGAGCCTGGGACAGGAGGCGATGCTATTTGCATTTTTCCTGAGAATGCATCTATTTGTATAAATATGGTGTCTTGGTACATGCACACACTCCTTGACGCATGTATTTGCTTGAGGAGAAACGCACTGTCCCCGTGGTGCTCCCTGCTCAGGGTTAGGCTGAAATTCCCACTTTTCCGAGAGCAGACGTAACTTTCCCCCGCTCCCAAGCTCTTGACGGCCATGGGCACGGCAGAACCGAACCGTTTCACCATGTGGCGGTGGAGTTCTCTTGTGGGTGATGGAGACTCCTGCTTCCCCATTTGCCCAGACATCAAAAAGGTTTGAGCAGATCACAGCGTTGTCAAGATGCTGAGCGCCCGTCTGCTCCTGCCCTCGGGTTGACAAGGAGGATTAGCACTGGGGGAAGGAGGGTGTAATAGCGTGTCACGGGCACAGGGAAAAGCCCAGGAGCGTGCAGAGGACGGAGAGGTTGCCAAAGGGCAGGTCTGTCTGCGAACGTGAGGTTGGGGGTGGGTTTGAGAGCGATCTAGGAGCTGTGCGCCTGTAACCTCCATGGGTTTGCTCTAGCAGAAGGCAGGACTGTCCTGTATGCTAGTTAAGCCATGCTGGGAGCAGTTTAAGCTCAGCTGGAGGAAGTCAGTCTTAGCCTGGAAGAAGAGATGTACACCAGAGGAGCAARTAGGAGCAGTGGTTGACCTACTGGGATGTCGTTTTAATGGTATGGTTTTCCATGTAGACARCCTTGGAGCGGAGCAGCTAGCCTGCCATCCGTGTGTCTAGCTGTCTGACTAGGATGTACAACACATCCCTGTCTGTGCATGGTGGTCATCGTCTTCCCGCACGACTAACACTGGCTCCATCCCCGCTCCAGCAAAGTACAGCAGCAGATCCCAAATTTCCAATAGGCATCATTTGCCTTGTTGACCAGGTGGAATAGCCCCATACTGCTAAAAATATATGTAAAGCTTCCCAAATACTGCATTTAGGTCAGCAGTTGATGTAATCTTCTTGAGGACAGTTAGTTACCACATACGAGGATTTCTTGGCTGGCATGGAGGAGCATGAGATTCTGTCTGTGTTTTTCACTATATCCTTGACTTTTCCTTCCCTAAATGATCTTGACTTAAGCCAAGATTTAGACAGGTTGAGTTTTCTACCCTGGTTTTGTGAGATTTTGGTTCAGGAGAAAGGCAGAACTCGTCCATAACTCACCGTTGGCTTTGCGGTTGGGCCCCGTGTTTCCGTGCCCATCAGGTCGCACATCTGTGCGGCTGTAACTGCTCTGGCCACCATTCCTGGCTCGGGTCCCGCTCAGGCTACAGAGCCCATGACGTTGAGGGCCTTGATGGTTGGGCACGACGCTGTGTGACAAGGCTCCTCCATGGGCTCCCGGTGTTCGGAGGCATCCACCCTCACCGTCCCGCRTGCCCGGCGGGGTAGTTGGCATCTGGCTGCAGGCGGCGGCACAGGGGGCCCCCGGCGGCCATTTTGCAGGAGCCCGCGCGCTTGCCTATAAGATGGCCGCATTGGCATGGGGTAGGGCGCAGCGGCGCGTCGCCTTCGCCACGCCGCCTCCCTCACGCCGTCCCCTCCTTATCGTGCTAATTACCGATGAAGGCAGAACAATAACGGGAGCTGGCATGCCCCAGTTCTTTCTCTGCCACCCCCTTCCTCGGGCGGAAAATCTGCACGCACACCTCCCCCCCGGCTCCCGCCAGCCCCTCCATGATATTAATTGAATTAACATACTTCCTAATTTGCCCTGCGCTCGCCGCAYGCCTGCTCCCAGCCACCCTGTCATGGCTTATCCAACTGGTGGGGACGGCACAACCGCTTTCTCTCCCTCTGCTCGTTTGGTCGTATGCGAAAAATCCTTAATGACATATAAAAAGGGTGGCGTGGGGGTGGGGATGGCGGGACAATAGCCAGTGAGGGATTTGGCAGGGAGACATGCAATATT